TCTTTAACGCCTCGGACTAAGATTTTAATTTATATAATCTATATCAAAAGAATAGGAATAATTTTGTGGCTAGTGTATTTATATGATAAAATGGGTTTTTATGGTTAAATTTGATATCATTAGAATGGTCTTGACTTAAATTCGTGCCTTTTCAAGGTTTCATTTCATTCTTACCGATAGTCAATTTATTATGATAAGTATTTAGGCTGTATTAGAAAATGCTCTATCTCTATATACATAATTAAGAAATGACCTTGTATCTTGTGAACTATTGACATTTTGAAAAATATAAGCTCATCCTGATGTTTCACTCACCTTTCATTCGAGTACCCACATCAATTTTTTATATATTTTATATATTTATATATATTTTACAAATACCATATGTATAAAATATATAAAAATTGCCATGTGAGTACTTAAATAAAAGGTCTTGGTGAGTGTAACATCGAGATGAGCTTATATCTTTAAAAATGTCAATAATTAAGAAATGACCTTGTATCTCGTAAGCTATTGACATTTTTAAAGATATAAGCTCATCTCGATGTTACACTCATCGGGACCTTTCATTTGAGTACCCACATCAATTTTTCATATATATATATATCAATATGAAAAATATATGAAAATGCATGTGGGTACTCAAATGAAAGCTCTTAATTAATGTAACATCGGGATGAGCTTATATCCTAAAAAATGTCAATGGTTAAGAAATGACGTTGTATTTTGTCTACCAATGATATTTTCATCGATATAAGCTCATCCAGGAGTTACACTCATCGAGACCTTTCACTTGAGTACCCACATCAATTTTTCATATATTTCATATGTTTATATATATTATATATATGTATATTTGAAAAATATATCAAAAATGCAAGTGGGTACTCAAATGAAAGCTCTTGTCAAGTGTAACATCAGGATGAGCTTATATCTTTGAAAACGTCAATATTTAAGAAAGCACAGTGCAAGTTAACAAAAGTCATTATTTAATAAAGCAAAATTTTATTTATTAATAGTTCACAAGTCCCGGCAGTCACATAGTGACTGCAAGTTTACTATTAAAAATATCCAAAAATATTCAACTCTAAAATTTGCCATCTCAAAAATATTTCAAAAGATTTAACAAACTTTGATTGACATACCTCAAAAGTTCAAGACAGAAAGTTTAATTAAAACCAACAATTAATAATTTACTGGGTCATAAGTTGTGTAAAAAAAAAATTCAGCGGCATCGATGAAAAAATAATAAAGTAACAAAATAGTTGATGTGAGAAGGAAGTTCATAGCATATTAGCTATCAGGACAAAATGATCGCCGTGGGTTCATATCACGGGGTCCCACACGAGAGAACTCGTTGTACCGGTTTTATGGATTCTCCGACCGGTTACTGTGGCAAAAGAACCTGTAGCTAATATTATATATTGTCTTTATTTTTAAATAAGCTAAATTATTAACGAATAAATCTATTAATCTCAACTGATAATACGATAAAGAGAATAAAAAAAAAAGAGTTTAACATTTACTATTTAATTTACTCCAATTAAAAAATTACAATTCAAATGCATTATATGTAGAAAAGTAATTAGATGCTTTGAGAACAGTTCTCATCATCCGAGTGCTTTTAACTTGCGATTTAACGCACCAGAATAGCGGGTGGGAATAAAGTATAATGTATAAGATCCACAATCAGTACACGCACAAGTGGAATGACAGAATAACGGAACATAAGACTAGACCCCTTCCAACTTTCATAACATATCAATGATCTAAATCATATATGTATACATTATACGTTTAATATGTACACATATATATGAATATTTTGTAGGATTCAATTTTCAACACCCACAGATCAAATAAAAAATTTTAAAAACATCTTTTAAATAGCTATCAATATTTATATTATAATAATAATGTTAATAATAATAATAATAATAATAATATGTACGAATAAATAATGACAGTGTACTTAAGTGAAAGTTATCTATTGTACTCTATTTGCTTTGTATGATTCGTCGCCTATTATGTGACATCAAGTGAACTTTACATAAAAGCTCTTTGTCACTTACACATTCCATTCATTTTTAATTTTTATAGTGACTAACAAAAACATGTGTACGTACAATTTGTAATAACAAAAATTTTTTTTTAATTAAAATGTTCTCTTGTGATAAAATAATAATACTGATAAGTGCAAAATTTTAATAATTGTTGACTTACTTTGAATAAAATAAATGATATTGAAGTTGAAAGATATTATAATTTTTTTTAGCAATGAAATTATTGTTAAAAAAATTCCAGATGAAAATGAATAAAAACTAGCAATTTGCAGTCACTATGTGAACTATAAATATATAAAATTTTACTTTATTAAACAATGAATTTTATTAAATTGCACTTTACTTTCTGAACTATTGACCTTTTTAAAGATATAAGCTCATCCTGATGTTACACTCATTAAGAGCTTTTATATGAGTACCCACATACATTTTTGATATATTTGTCATATATACATATATATATCATATATATAAATATGTAAAATATATAAAAAATTGATGTGGGTACTCAAATGATAGGTCTCGATGTGTGTAATGTCAGAGTGAGCTTACATCTTTAAAAATATAATTAGTTGACAAGATAGCAATGTCAGTTCTTAATTAATGACATTTTTTAAGATATAAGCTCATCTTAGCGTTACACTCATCAAGAGCTTTCATTTGAGTACCCACGTGCATTTTTTATATATTTTTCATATTGACATATATATAAATATATAAAATATATGAAAAATTGATGTCAATATTTCAAGACCTTTCATTTGAGTACCCACATGCATTTTTGATATATTTTTCATATATACATATATATAAAAAATATATGAAAAATTGATGTGGGTACTCAAATGAAAGGTCTTGATGAGTGTAACATCAGGATGAGTTTATATCTTTAAAAATGTCAATAGTTTACAAGATACAAGGTCATTTCTTAATTATGTATCTAGAAATAGAGCATTTTCGAATGCAGCCCAAATACTTATTATCATAAATCGACTATTGGTGAGAATGACATGAAACCATAAAAAGGTATAATTCTATAGGTCAAGATTTTTTTAACAATACCAAATTTAACCATAAAAACCCATTTTATCATATAAATACACTGGCCATAAAATTTTGCTTATTCTCTCAATAATATAGATTATTAAAGGAAATTTTTAGAAGTATTTTTATTATTGTAATTGATTTGTTATGAGAATTAAAAAAATTGACAGTTTCTCAGTTAACTTTAATCATACAAAATAAAAAAATAGTTTCAAGATTAACTCGTCTTTGTTGTTTTTAAATAAAATTAAACTTAGCAGTCACTCCAAAATTTTTTAATTTTATTTAACAAAACAATTTCTTATAAAAAATTATTTTTAAAAAATTGCATTTTCAATTTATAACAATTTTCATATGTCAATTTTTTTTGCACTAATTTATGTTTTAAAAAAAACATTTTTAAATTACTAAATATCTGCTACTTTAATTGTCATTGTTTACAATTGTTTCTTTTTTTACAATGAATTATATTAATTTTAAATAATTAAATAAGGTGTGAAGAAATCACAAGAATATTAATGGGTAATTTTCTTATTGACATTAAAAATAACTTTATTTAATATTTAAAAATCACCATAAATATCTACTTTCACTGTAATTAAAAAAATATAAAGCCTAAATTTATTGGATAAAATAATAAAGTCAAAAGCACTGACACTCTATTTAATAATTAAATTAAAAATTAGTATCAAAATAACTCTAAACTGAGGAATAAAATCGATGAACTAGATTCATTAATAATAAAAATATTCTTACCTTAAAAATCTTAAAAATCCAGATTAATAAATATTAATAAGCTAATAAAATTTCTTAATTAATATTCAGCTTAATATCCGATAGTATTTTAATTAAAGATGATAACAAAAAACAAAGGCCATTTGTTGTTTTAGTATCAATGTTCTGTCACTCCCTACTCCCTTGATATTTACTTTAAACTTTGCCGGTGACATCCGCGACAGTCTCGAGTACTTGGAGACAAGACGGGACTTGGGACTGTGAGTGTAGTGGTAGTGTTTGTGTTAAGATGTGTTGAATAAAACTCGCGAGCAAGAAGGCAAGCATTTAATAACATTTATAACTGAGAGTCACTCAGAGTAGTCCAATTCACCAAGGAAGGTGAACGAAGGCTGATTGAAGGTTGTGAAATGGCAATACCACACAATACAAGTGAAGAGCATGGTGAGGGGCACTGTAGACTGTATATATCTCAGTGACGCTCTTGGGTGCTCTGGTACTGGCTGGTAGATAAAAAGGCATCAGCATCATCATCCAAACTCGATTGTAACGCACGGTACGGAGAATGTTTGAAGCTCACTGCGCTCTCAGTGCTCTCAGGGAGTAGAGAGATCAACAGGAAGCCAGAGAAAATTACTGTTGTACTCCATCGGTAATTACAGCTGTTCAGAGTGGTCGTCTGGCTTTTAAAAAAATAAAAAACATAATATTGCTTGCACAATGTGTGTTACTAACACACTTATATTAATGTAAGGGTACTTTTAAAACATGAAAACACTGCTTTGACAATATAAGCATCAGACGGGTATTAATGTTGTCAGGAAACACGTGACATGGAGCACACACGTGTGAATAAATTATCTTCGTGTTTTTTGTTAAGGTATTTTATTTTTATTTTAGATTTGCCTCGTCAAAGAAATTGTTCTTTATTCTTTACTTTGAAACCTCAAATGCGGTGGATTACAATCAGCTCCAATAAAAAAAAATTTTTTAAGTGCATTATAATAATAATAATAATAATAATAATAAAGTTAGCCGGCATTTTTGATTTTTTTATTTTGCTTAATTTATTAATATAAATTATAACTAAAAAATATTTTTGAAAAAATGCACTGATAGTTTTTGATGTTTTTAACAAATGAAAAAATTTTTTTTTTACTAATTCTTTAATATAAAAAATTATAAAATTTTTTAGATGTCGGCTAAATTTATTTTCATTGTATTGTATTTTTTAATTTGAGTGACAATTAAAGACATCCGAAAATTTTTTGTTTTTAGAAACAATTTTTTATAATGATATTAAAGTTAAGTCACTAAAAATTTTGAATTTTATTGAACAAAAAAAATTTGTTCAAAAATATTATTTTAAAAAAATTGCATTTTTTATTTTTTAAAATTTCTACATGTCAATTTTATTTTTTAATTTTTGTTTGACGTAATTTATTTTTTAGTTAATTTTCATTATTATACAAAAAAAAAAAAACTGAAAGTTAGCAGTCACTTGACTATTTTTTTATTCTATTTAAAAAATAAATTTACTCCGAAAAAATGACAATGACATCAGCTGACAATTTTTTGAATTTTCTTTAATTATTTAGGTCTAGGAAATTATTAAAAAAAAATTGCATTTATAATTTTTTAAAGCTTCGGCTGCATTTGAAAATGCTCTACGTCTAAATAGATAATTAAGAAATGACCTTTTATCTTGTGAAAAATTGACATTTTTTAAGATATAAGCTTATCCCGATGTTACACTCATCAAGACCTTTCATTTGAGTACCCACATCATTTTTTCATAAATTTATATACATCATATATATATATGTATATATGAAAAATATATCAAAAATGCATGTGGGTACTCAAATGAAAGCTCTTGATGAGTGTAACATCGGGATGAGCTTATATCTTGTAAAATGTCAATAATTAAGAAATGACCTTGTATCTTGTCAACTATTGACATTTTTTAAGATATAAGCTCACCCCGATGTTACACTCATCGAGACCTTTCATTTGAGTACCCATATTAATTTTCCATATATTTCATATATTTATATATATTATATATATTTATATATGAAAAATATATTAATAATGCAAGTGGGTACTCAAATGAAAGCTCTTGATGAGTATAACACTGGAATGAGCTTATATCTTTCAAAACGTCAATATTTAAGAAAGTACAGTTCAATTTAACACAAGTCATTATTTATTAAAGTATAATTTTAATTTTCTATAGTTCACAAGTCACGGCAGTCACATAGTGACTGGGTCGCTGGTTTTTTATCAAATGAATTATGACGAAAAAGAACAAAAGTTTCATAAGTAAAAATTTTAAAAAATTTGATGTAATTTTTTTAAAATTATATTCTTATAACTAATTTGTTGAATAAAATAAACTGTCATAAATATTCCAAAATTTTATTTATCATTTTTAAAATACAATAAATCCACCGATGTTTATTACTTTCAAATTTTTTTTTCAAATACCATTAAAATTATCATTATTTCTGAGATCTTAATCGCTGAATTTCTTTACTAGATTAATGACATGATCATATAGTAGCGATTTAGCATCAATAGCCCACAAAAAATCCATATGGGTAAATTTTGGATGATCTACAATGTATACATCGATTATATTTGGTAACACATCAATAAGCGCTTCTACATCCTAAAAAAACAATTTTTTATAATTAAACTCGTATTTGTATGTATCTACAAAATATACAAAATGGACAGTAAAAAATATTTACGGTAGGGTTTGAATACCAATCAGCCTTTGAATAAATCAAAGCAGTTGGAGAGGTAACTTTCGATAAATCATAGTCAGTTGGTTTAGGCGAATTATAAATTTTAAGATTCTCTTTTTCACCATAATCGTATTTTGCGAAGACATTAAATTCAACGTCTTGAGAAAAATGTATTAAATTTTTAAATGATGTTCCAGCTGGATAATTATCCACAATTGGATTTAAAAGAGTCTAAAATTTTTTTTTAAATTACTTATAATTATAATTTTATTGATTACAAATTTAGATATTAAAAATTGTAACTAAAATTTACGCTATTGAATTGGTCATCCTCAAACCCAACAATTAAATAATAAATATTTTGACAAAAATAGTTTTGAATTTTAAATAATTTGCAACCAAAAGATAAAATGGTTTTAAATGCCAGTGTTTGGACTCCAAAGCTATTTAGAAGGCCTAAATTTCGAAAAAACTAATAAAAAAAAATATAAATTTTAACTATAAATATATAAATGTTTGATTAAAAAATAAATACTCATACATTAGCAATTTTAGCTAGTACTGGCCCGATATTTTTTATACGCCACTCTACATGCCCCAGAAATGCAATTGGCGCAAGACAAATTAATCCTTTGACTTTTTCGGTCATATCTGGTCGTTCAGACTCCATTATAAAACTTTGCATAGTACCTTGCGAGTGTCCAATAATTATTATTTTATCATTTACTATTGACGTAATATAATCGATCATAGCTGGTAAATCGTAAATACCCATTTCATTGTAACTGAAGAAAAATATGATAATAAATTTTACTTAGTAAAATTAATTATTAAAAAAATAATAATAAATTTTACCTAAAATCCCAAAATTCAAAATCATTAGCAGTTAAATTTATATGAGACATTGAATAAGAACTTCCTCGAGAATTTGCTAGCCAAACGTCATATCCTTCATTAAAAACACTTCTTAACAATCTTAGATATCAAAAAATATGCGTATTATAAAGTTAGCAATAAGAAAAGTACTTGTGTCGTAATTACGTAGTAGCACAAGATTAGTCAAGCGACCAAGTAACACGATGTGTAAGCCGCAGCGAGCAAGCCGGAGAGTGAGTCGTATGCGCAGCTAGGCTGCGTGTAGACCGACGCAGTCTCAGTACAAATACGCTAGGTGTCGCTTGAGCGGCAAATATAAATATGAAATATAATAAAGACAAATAATTAAATTGCTGAACAAGAAAATCTTGCACTCTTAACAATAAGATTAAAATTAATTTTTTTTATGATAATTTTTTAGTTTTAACCCCCTCAATGATTGGAATAAATTTTTGCAATAAATAATCATAATGATTCGGAATTATTAAACTAAAATTAACAGACATCATACCACTCTTTAGATTTTTATAACAATCCAATTTTCATGAAAAAAATTAAGTAAAAAAGTTCCACATGTAAGAAGAATCTATAAAAATTTATAAGTGCACATTTTTTGAAATATTTTTCTTTAATCATAATTGATTTGTTTAAAAATTTTCGAAAATTTTTAATTTTCTCAGCGAGAAGTTAAAAATTGATCAATTTGAAAAAAAAAAAAAAAAAATTAACATGGGCTAGCATGGGTTGACCCCACTTGTAAATAATTACCTAATAAAATTTTTTTCATAATAATTAATTATTGTAAAAATCAACAAAATTTTACATGTCTATTAATTTCAGTATCAAAAAAAAATTATATACATAAATGTTTATGATAATAAATTAAAAAGATATTTTATAACGATTTTTCATCAAATGAATTATGACGAAAAAACTTACAAAGATAAATTTCACAGGTAAGAATTTAAAAAAAAAAAACTATTGATGTAATTTTTTAGAAATTATTTTTTTTTTAACTAATTCGTTGAATAAAATAAAAAAAATTTCCAAGTGTCTGCTAATATTGTAGTGTCATAAATATTTCAAAATTTCATTTCTCCTAGAAGGCCTAGATTTCGAAAAAACTAATAAAAAAAAAATATAAATTTTAACTATAAATATATAAATGTTTGATTGAAAAATAGATACTCATACATTAGCAATTTTAGCTATTATTGACTCAATATTTTTTATACGCCACTCTACATGCCCCAGAAATGCAATTGGCGCAAGACAAATTAATCCTTTGACTTTTTCGGTCATATCTGGTCGTTCAGACTCCATTATAAAACTTTGCATAGTACCTTGCGAGTGTCCAATAATTATTATTTTATCATTTACTATTGACGTAATATAATCGATCATAGCTGGTAAATCGTAAATACCCATTTCATTGTAACTGAAGAAAAATATGATAATAAATTTTACTTAGTAAAATTAATTATTAAAAAAATAATAATAAATTTTACCTAAAATCCCAAAATTCAAAATCATTAGCAGTTAAATTTATATGAGACATTGAATAAGAACTTCCTCGAGAATTTGCTAGCCAAACGTCATATCCTTCATCGGCTAATAAATATGCTACGCGGAAATGATCAATAGGAATATAATTAAAGAATGACCTTGTATCTTATGAACTATTGACATTTTTAAAGATATAAGCTCATCCTGATGTTACACTCATCGAGACCTTTCATTTGAGTACCCACATCAATTATTCATATATTTTATATATTTATATGTATATATGAAAAATATATCGAAAATACATGTTGGTAGTCAAATGAAAGTTTTTGATGAGTGTAACATCAGAATGAGCTTATATCTGTAAAAATGTCAATAATTAAGAAATTATATTGTATTTTGTCAACTTATGATATTTTTAAAGATATAAGCTCATTATCATGTTACACTTATCGAGACCTTTCATTTGAGTACCCACATCAGTTTTTCATATATTTATATATATTAATCAAGAGCTTTCATTTGAATTCCCACATGCATTTTAATATATTTTTCATATATACATATATATAATATATAACATATTATATATAAATATATAAAAAATTGATGTGGGTACTCAAATGAAAGGTCTTGATGGGTGTAACATCGGGATGAGCTTATATCTTTAAAAATGTCATTATTTAAGAAAATACAGTGTAATTTAACACAAGTCATAGGAACTGTAAAGTTGCTAGTAAAAATATTAATTATATTAAATAAATTACCCAATGATTTTTCTTTTCCTGAAACAACCCATAAAGCTGAAGTACAAAGCAAACCATGTATCAGCAATACCGGAGTAGAATTTGATTTCCCAGGGATCCTGTGTAAACTCAAAATAAACCCGTCTTCTGTAGTAACATTATGCGTCTCTCCGTAATATCCATCGCGTTCTATCAATTTTGTCTGTCAAATAAATAAAGTTATATTTTACGCTAGTAACTGTTGTTATAATTAGTAAAAAGAAATTACTGTAGGCCATGACTCGAAAACATCGTTTGTTGAAAAGCCAAGAAGAGAAAGAAAAATTACACTACATGAAAGAACATGCATCATTTTTAAAATAAACTTATTACAACGATGTTTTTAACAGTACTATCATATCATACAAACTAAACGTTTCGCGGTAGCATCGATTATTCATAATTATTATAGTGCGATAACAATTATAATTCATTTGTGTGTTAAATGCTAGTTTGACTATTACGACACTATCTGTAATAATTAAAACAATTACCTGAAGTAAATAGGTTTATTGTACGTAAGGTGTTTGAAAAAATGTAAAAATATAGAAATTTTAAACTTGCAACTGTAAGCAAGCTTATCTCTATAATTAAACTGTTGAGTATTTAAAACAATAATAAATTATCATATTTATTTATCAAATCTATTATGTCGTTGTAAAGTAATTGCCTTGCATCGATTCCCCATAAAAAGTCTAAATGATTAAATTTTGTAAAATTAACCCTGTATAAACCGTATGTCCTTGGCAATTTTGAATAAAGATTTTGAGCATCCTGAAATAAATAATTATAATTATTAAATTAATATTTTAAATTATTAAGTAAATGATAATACCTCTGGAGCAGTTAGCCACTCACTGTCAGCGTAAAAAAATACAATGGGTATTTGAATTTTATGCAAATTATATTCCGGTGGATAAGTTGAATTATAAAGCTCAAAATTTTTTTCGCTCCATAATCATACTGTTGAAATCGCCCGGATACTATTTCTTGAGCGTAATGAACCATAGTTTTCGTTGACGAGTCTGCTGGTGTATGACTTAATATAACTGGTAACCAGGTCTAAAATATTATTTTAATAATAAATAATAAATAAATAAATAATTCGATCATCCTATAGCTAAAAGGGCGCATAAAAAATTTTATTTATAAATTTTTAAATGAAGTTTTAAAATGAAATTTTGATGAATAGTTTTACAAGTTAAATTAAAAAAAAAAGTCTAGTATACAAAACTCAATTATTATAAAAAAGAGTAAAATGAAAATAATTGTTTTGTTTCGCAATTACTCAATCACTGAATATAAAATTAACTAAGATTTTTCGACCTACTACACGTTATTTTTTCTGAAAATTTATTAAAAATAAAAAATTAAATGATAAAAAAAAAAAAAAAAAACGAAAATATCAATTTTTTATTAAAACAAAAAAAAATTATTTTACAAAAATTATAAAAAAAATAAAATTTTTTGATTTTTTCTTTCATTATTGTTATGGGTACACCATAAATCAGAATAATTTATTTAAAATGTTCATTTTTTTATTTTTATAAATTTTGTAATCATTTAATAAAATATTTTTAATTATAATTTAAAAAGAGCGTACCGTTAAAATGCGGTCCTTTGATTGGCCAATTTTTTGGTAAACTTTTAGCTTGAGATAAGGATTTTAGTAAATTGTTCGGAAAAAACAAATATATAGGTTCTTTTAACTTTACGTTATAAAATTTTCTAATTCCTCAAAATAAAAGGGAAGATAATTAAAGACATACGTGATCTTTTTAGCTTTGTTTGATTTTTATGAAAAGTTTTGCATGGAGTTTCAATCTTTGATACAAATAATGATTTTTAAAAGAAAAATTGTTCCTTAAAACAATAATCATTTTCTCCTGCTTCTAATAAATATTCAGAAACCATTTTTTTAAAAATCATCGTTTGTTTTTCGTTTTGATATAAAAAAAAAAAATTCGTTTTATTTAACTTTTCATTGTTTGTGCAATAAACAAATTAATTTTTACCTTATATTTTTTTTCCTATTCTAATTATTATCACAAAAACAGACATAGTTTTGTTTTGTTTTTTTTTTTTTAATTTTTAAATATACGTTTTCTATAATTTGGTCATTCTTGCCTGGTTTTTCATCCTTAAAATTATTATAATTTATAATCTAATAGAGATACGATAAAAATACAAGAGACTTATTCATTTTTCATTAGCTAAAGACTAAATTCAGCTGAAAAGTTTAGTTTTTACTAATTTATCTATTAAATTTATAGCAATTGTTTATGAAAAATAATCCTGGAAAAATTTTTTTTGCTTTATTGTTCATTACTAAACATTTTTACCTTTTACATTTTAATCTCATTTATAATTATCATTTATAAACAATTATAAGCATCATAGAAACAGAACCTGAAAATAAATATCTAGATATTCGTAAATTTTTCTAGTATAATAGAGTGAGATTTTATTAAAAGAAAAATACCCCCTTTTAAACAGAAACTTTCTTGAACAGTTAAATAATAAAATTACATATTTAAAGAATAATGAATGAGACCGTAGATAAATAATAGTTTTAACTGAACAATGAGTATGCAAATTTTAAATAAAAAGAATGAAATAAATCAATTTTGAATACTTATTCAAAGAAGATATTACTTAAAATAAGACAAAAATTATCGTTTTTGAACAAGATATTTCAATAGAAATTGCACTTACTTAAAATAAAGGTAAACTAATAGAAAAATGAAATTTTGCTTATTTTTCAATATCCGTACAATGAAGGATTAAACTCTCTCATTCTGACTAATTGCCATTAAAGCAAGTTAAGTGGGTAATTGACTTTTAATTTCTGCCTTACATATTTTGTCAAAAATGCAGCTGTGGAGCAAGCTTTTACCGTAAGAACCTCTTTGTTCACCCAATTCATTACACAGGTAGCCTCATGTAATAAAAGATACAGAAATTGAATGAAAATTTATGATCATTAACAATTACTCACTAATGAGATATTAAATACGCATTGATATACTTAACTCTTAATGACAATGACAAACATTATAGAATCTTTGAATTGCTATTGGCTCTAACGAAGCACCCTCTTCATCGAATTTGCCTATATAAGGTAGAATCTCAGTTGCAAAATCATTTCTCATCGAAATTTTGTCTTATGAACATCAAAACTTCGAAAAAATCCAAGTTTAGTTCAGTGATTTTCAATCTGTAATAAATTTGTGAATCAATAAGTAAAAGAATTTTATTTTTGTCAACCAAAATTGAAAACTGTTGCTGTTAAAAGTGTTCACTTATTATTTGAAGCCGGTTAAACTGAGTGTTTAACTAAAACAGTGAAAAGCAAAGATCAAAATCTACGTTTTTTTAAAAAGATTTTGTGGTTTTTAAAAGGCGAAAAGTGTAAATCAATTACTATGGTCATCACTAGTAAAGATTTTGTAACGGAGGACGCTCCAAAACTATCTAGGAGGCAGATGACAAAAGCTCTTTTCGCAAAAATTGTGAAATCGGGTAATATCGAGCCAGCAACTTCGATAGTACCAACTCCAAGCCTTGCAGAGGAAGCGAGGGTTCTGCCATCACCAGAACCTCGACCCGTGGTTGTCCCTAGTCCGCCTGCACCGGAGGGTATACCAGAGCCCCTCTTCATTGAGAGACAATTGAAAGCTCGTCGGGATAACCTGGAAAACCAAACGGTTTCGAGGAAGAAGAAGAAGAAAAGACGTGGCCCCCGGCAACTTCAGATGGACGACTACGAGGGAGGTGTCCCTCGACCGCCGAAACCTTGTTGGCACGAGATCATTTCAGAGGTCTATGAGGGGTGTTCTCATGACGCCGAGTTCTTTAATTTTAAATAAAATAATTTTTAAAGTTAAAGTTGTGTAAAAAGTAGTTGTTTATTTCTTAATAAACTTATTTATTTTTATTAATATAAATTTTATTTTATCATTCATAAATATACCCTTCACCTAATTTTTATGTAATTAGTCTATTTAGGTAGTCAAAAAATTAATATCTAATATCTAATAAAATAAAAATTGCTTCAAATACAATAATTTAAAAAATTTTTAATTTTTTTTTTAGCCTTTTGTTCTTATAATACCTTTTTGAAAACTTTGAAATTTTGAAACTTGCCAAAATAAAAAAAATAATATTTTTTTTTAACCAAAATAAAAAATTTATTATTTATAATATCATTGTAAACTCTATTCTCAGAAGTGCTACTTCTATCATTTTTAGGAACAACTTTTCCAACAATTATTTAAACAGTATCATATTTCTTAAATATTTATACAATGATTTAGATTTGTCGGGTTTATTAATAAAAAGTGAAACACAAGGTTTAATATAAACTGAATCTATAGTTATTTAATCTTCTATCAAATGTAAAAACACTTCTTAACAATCTTAGATATCAAGAAATATGCGTATTATAAAGTTAGCAATAAGAAAAGTACTTGTGTCGTAATTACGTAGTAGCACAAGATTAGTCAAGCGACTAAGTAACACGATGTGTAAGCCGCAGCGAGCAAGCCGGAGAGTGAGTCGTATGCGCAGCTAGGCTGCGTGTAGACCGACGCAGTCTCAGTACAAATACGCTAGGTGTCGCTTGAGCGGCAAATATAAATATGAAATATAATAAAGACAAATAATTAAATTGCTGAACAAGAAAATCTTGCACTCTTAACAATAAGATTAAAATTAATTTTTTTTATGATAATTTTTTAGTTTTAACCCCCTCAATGATTGGAATAAATTTTTGCAATAAATAATCATAATGATTCGGAATTATTAAACTAAAATTAACAGACATCATACCACTCTTTAGATTTTTATAACAATCCAATTTTCATGAAAAAAATTAAGTAAAAAAGTTCCACATGTAAGAAGAATCTATAAAAATTTATAAGTGCACATTTTTTGAAATATTTTTCTTTAATCATAATTGATTTGTTTAAAAATTTTCGAAAATTTTTAATTTTCTCAGCGAGAAGTTAAAAATTGATCAATTTGATAAAAAAAAAAAAAAAATTAACATGGGCTAGCATGGGTTGACCCCACTTGTAAATAATTACCTAATAAAATTTTTTTCATAATAATTAATTATTGTAAAAATCAACAAAATTTTACATGTCTATTAATTTCAGTATCAAAAAAAAATTATATACATAAATGTTTATGATAATAAATTAAAAAGATATTTTATAACGATTTTTCATCAAATGAATTATGACGAAAAAACTTACAAAGATAAATTTCACAGGTAAGAATTTAAAAAAAAAAAACTATTGATGTAATTTTTTAGAAATTATTTTTTTTTTAACTAATTCGTTGAATAAAATAAAAAAAATTTCCAAGTGTCTGCTAATATTGTAGTGTCATAAATATTTCAAAATTTCATTTCTCCTAGAAGGCCTAGATTTCGAAAAAACTAATAAAAAAAAAATATAAATTTTAACTATAAATATATAAATGTTTGATTGAAAAATAGATACTCATACATTAGCAATTTTAGCTATTATTGACTCAATATTTTTTATACGCCACTCTACATGTCCCAGAAATGCAACTGGCGCAAGACAACTTAATCCTTTGGCTTTTTCGATCATATCTGGTCGTTCAGACTCCATTATAAAACTTTGCATAGTACCTTGCGAGTGTCCAATAATTATTATTTTATCATTTACTATTGACGTAATATAATCGATCATAGCTGGTAAATCGTAAATACCCATTTCATTGTAACTGAAGAAAAATATGATAATAAATTTTACTTAGTAAAATTAATTATTAAAAAAATAATAATAAATTTTACCTAAAATCCCAAAATTCAAAATCATTAGCAGTTAAATTTACATGAGACATTGAATAAGAACTTCCTCGAGAATTTGCTAGCCAAACGTCATATCCTTCATCGGCTAATAAATATGCTACACGGAAATGATCAATAGGAATATAATTAAAGAATGACCTTGTATCTTATGAACTATTGACATTTTTAAAGATATAAGCTCATCCTGATGTTACACTCATCGAGACCTTTCATTTGAGTACCCACATCAATTATTCATATATTTTATATATTTATATGTATATATGAAAAATATATCGAAAATACATGTTGGTAGTCAAATGAAAGCTTTTGATGAGTGTAACATCAGAATGAGCTTATATCTATAAAAATGTCAATAATTAAGAAATTATATTGTATTTTGTCAACTTATGATATTTTTAAAGATATAAGCTCATTATCATGTTACACTTATCGAGACCTTTCATTTGAGTACCCACATCAGTTTTTCATATATTTATATATATTATATATATGTATATATGAATAATATATCAAAATAAAAGAAAAATTACACTACATGAAAGAACATGCATCATTTAAAAAAAAAAAACTTATTGCAACAATGTTGCTAACAGTACTATTATATCATACAAACTAAACGTTTTGTCGTAGCATCGATTATTTATAATTATTACAATGCGATAACAATTTAAATTCGTTTGTTTGTTAATTGCTAGTTTGACAACTACGTCATTATCTGTCATATTTAAAACAATTACTAAAAATACATAAGTTTGTTGTACGTGAGGTATTTAAAAAAATGTAACAAAGTAGAAATTTTAAACTTAAAACAGTAAGCAAGCTTATCTTTATAATTAAACCGTTGTATATTTAAAATAATAATAAATTATCATATTTATTTATTAAATCTATTATGTCGTTGTAAAGTAATTGCCTTGCATCGATTCCCCATAAAAAATCTAAATGATTAAATTTTGTAAAATTAACCCTGTGTAAACCGTATGTCCTTGGCAATTTTGAATAAAGATTTTGAACATCCTGAAATAAATAATTATAATTATTAAATTAATAATTTAAATTATTAATTAATTGACAATACCTCTGGAGATGCTAGCCAATCATTGTCAGCGTAAAAAAATACAACGGGTACTTGAATTTTACTCAAATTATATTCCGGTGGATAAGTTGAATTATAAAGCTCAAAATTTTTTTTTGCTCCATAATCATACTGTTGAAATCGCCCAGATACTATTTCTTGAGCGTAATGAACCATAGTTTTTGTTGAGGCGCCTGCTGGTGTATGACTCAATATAACTGGTAACCAGGTCTAAAATATTATTTTAATAATAAATAATAAATAATAAAATAATTCGATCATCCTATAGCTAAAAGGGCGCATAAAAAATTTTATTTATAAATTTTTAAATGAAGTTTTAAAATGAAATTCTGATCAATAGTTTTACAAGTTAGATTTAAAAAAAATTCTAGATATAGCTCAATTACTATAAAAAAGAGTAAAACGAAAATAATTATTTTTCAAAATAGTTATTCAGTTACTGAAAATAAAATTCACATAACTAAGATTTTTTGACCTACAGCACATTATTTTTTTCACAAAATTCATTAAAAATTGAAAATTAAATGATAAAAAAAAAATGAAATTATCAATTTTTCATTAAAAAAAAAAACTTTTTTTTTTAGTTATAAACTATAATTTTTTTTAGTTATTTATTGATTTTTTCTTCAAATGTTATTTTGGATTATGGGTACGCCATAAATCAGAATAATTTATAAAAAAATGTTTATTTTTTTTGTAAAATATTTTTCATTTTAATTTTAAAAGAGTGTACAGTTAGAATGCGCTCCTTTGATTGCCCTATTTTTTGTTTAATTTTTAAGTTTGAGATAAGGATTTTAGTAAATTGCTCTGAAAAAAAAAAATTTATAGGCTCTTTTAGCTTTATGTCATAAAATTTTCTAATTCCTAAAACTACACCGAGAAAAAAAAAAGTACTTTTATTAAGAAAATTTTCTTGATACAAGAATTCATCCTCTGCCCAATTTCAAAACACAGTAACTAACATTTAAAAATTTTTTTCAATTTTTCTTATTAAAAAAAAGTTTGCCCGTCAAATTAATGACAAATTTGATTTATGAATAGAAAATACTCAAATATAAATATTTTTAAGAAAAAATACTTGAAATTAAGATTTAAAAGTTATAAAAAATGCAGCAATACTAAAAAAATCAGGTATAAAAATTTTGCAGTTACTGTGTTTTAAAATTGGGCAGCCGTCATGTTCTTGAAAATTTTCAAGAACATATATTCTTAGCTCAAGAATTTGTTAAATTTTATTTATTTATTTTACGCCAAGCAGCAATATATATTAAAGATATAAAAGATATAATATTAAATTCATTAGATATATTGAATTAAATAATATTTTGTTACATGATGGTGAGGGGGACAGATAAAATAACAATTTTGAAAGTCAAAAGTAAACTTGCAAGTGCTAGATGGGAAGAAAGCAGTAAAAATTAAAAAAAAAAAAAAAAAAAAAAAAAGGATTAATTATATTTATTAGTATTCTGGTATGATCAGTAAATGTCTTCTAGTATTGTTGATGAAAGCTTGAAATTGATTGAAATAATTTTTAAATTAAGCTATTCTCTTGAGCCAAGAAATTGTTAATTGAGTAAAAGTATTTTTTTTCTCAGTGTAAAAGGGAGTATAATTAAAGACATATGTTCCATTAGCTTTCCGTGTTTAAAAATACTAATTTTAATTTTTTGTTTGTATATATAATATAGATATACAGTTTGCATGGAGTGACTGCTTCTCAATTCTTTTCAATCAGTATTCTTAACCAGGGTTGTGAATTCAATGTTTGATTTATATGCGTAGAATATATACATAAATCTACCAGTCAATTGGCGATAAAAAAATATTATGTGCCCTTTTAGCTTTTGACACGCTAATATTAAAAATAACTATTAAATTTACTTGATTAAATTGTGCATCGTCGAATCCCATAATTACGAACATTGAATTTTTACAGATTTCTTTTTCAATGGTAACCATTTCACAGCCATACTTGGCTAGATATTTTATAAAAATATTTTGAGGAAGAAATTCATCAACTCCTAGAAAATGCGCTACTAACTAAAAAAAAAAATAAATTTTATTATATTATTTTTATAGCTTGGAAAATTTTAAAGTATATTTTAAAAAATAAAAAAAAGCCCTATTTACTTTAATATCATTTGCAAATGGAGCTACAATTCTCACGGGGCTTTTTAGATGATTCATAAATCCAACAGGAGCCAAACTGATCATAAGTTTTATTTTTTCTGCTATTTCAGGCCGCTCAGATGCCATCACGTATCCCATTGTTGTCCCCATTGAATGCCCAATGTAAACTAAAGACATGTTTGTTTTTTCTACGATATAAGAAACTGCAGCTGGTACGTCATAAATTCCCATTTCATGAAAGCTTAAAAATAAATAGCATTCATGTTGATATCACTAATAAAAATTTTTCATGCAAAATTAGTTGGTAAATTACCTGAAATTCCAAAATTGCGAATCATGTGGTGATAAATTTATATGAGCGCGTGAATATGTATTACCGCGTACATTTCCTAACCAGACATCATATCCAACATCCGACAATAAATATGCTGTAATATTAATAATTATTTTATTGTTACATATTTATCAATTATAACCATAACTAATAAAGCCATTATCTATTTAATTGAGAGAATAAGGGGAATTTTGACTCTGGCGCATTATTTCATATACCTTTCAGTAATAGTTCATTTATTATAATAAGTTTTTGGAGTAGTTATTAATAGATTAAAATTAGAATTTCGCAATAAACAAAATTTGTTTAGTTATTTATTTTGTTTTGTACGTGTTAATGTGGTTTTATATGTCAACAATTAATTTATATAATTAGAGACTGAGCCAGAGCATTCTATATATTTTTTTATTACACTGAACAGGTTTATTACTATTATTATTACTTATTAGTATTATTATTAAATATATAGTAACTGTTATTTTTTTTTCTAATGGAACCCGCTTAATGGCTTTGCTGTAAGGTTCATTGTATTGTTTAAAATAAAATAAAAATAATTAAGAGACTTGAGAAAAATTTTGCAACGGGTATTATATCTTTATCGTAAATTGATTTTGTTATTTTTTCAGCGGTAGTCATTTATGATTTAAATAATTGAGAGAGTAAGGAAAATTTTGTGACCATATTATTATTTTTAAAGGAATTTTTATAGTTTAATTTGGTATCATCAGAAAGGTCTTGATAAAAATTAGTGCCTTAGGGTTTTATATATTTTTTAGTAGTCAATTTTTTATGTCAAGTTTTTGGAGGAGTTTTTAATAGTTTTTTGGTTCTATAAATTTATTCCGGCACATTTTTCCTTTAAATTATTTGTAATTGATCCTGTAACAGCATTATTATTTTTAAGATTTATTTTAAAAGTTCCCAAACTATGTATAGTGTGATTAGAAATATCAATAAATTATTAAGCCAAAATTTTCTTATTCATAATTCAGAAATCTCGGCAGTCGCATAGTGACTGCATGTTGCTAATACTTACTATAGAATTATTTAAAAAAGACATAACACTAAAATTAGCAGACACCTGACAATTTTTTTATTTTTCTTGAAAAATAAACTAGGTATAGAAAATTATTTTTAAAAAATTGCAGTTGCATCATTTTTCAGAGCTTCTAAATATGGAATTTTTTTAATAAATTTTTCTAGCTCTAATTTATCTGTCAAAAAAATTATCACATATCTCTAAATTTATAATACGAAAGTTAGCCGACGTTTTTAATTTTTTGATTTTTTTTTCAATAATTAAATAAGAACAAAAAAAATAATTTTTAAAAATTGCACTTACAGTTTTTTACAAATAAATTTTTTTTTTTCAATAACTTTTTCAATAAAAAAAAATTCTAAAAATTTTTAGATGTCGGCTAACTTAATTTTCATAAATTTCAGTATCATTCATTTAAATACCTAATGAATTTCCTTTGCCAGGAATGATCCAGTCCGCAGAACTACCCAGTAACCCATGTTGCAAGAAAATCGGTTTTGCACCAGGTTTGCCGGGGATACGATGTAGTGACAGTAAATATCCATCATCAGTCTCCACTACATGAACTTCTGCAGGATATCCAGCTCTTTTTATCATATCTTCCTAAAAGATAAATTTAATTTAAAATTAACATAAAAGTCAAATTAAATAAAACTAAACGCGCGAATTTTTTTTATTTAAATTAAAAAAGTATAATTTAAAAAACTTACCGTAGGCAAATCAACGTCTGGATCATAATCAATAACATTTAAATTATCATTTAAAGATAATGGTACACCGGCGAATGAGTTTGGAAAAAATTGAGTTACATCGATGACTGATAAAGCCGATATAACGTTTATAATTATTGACAGTATTATCAATTGTATTATTAAATAATTGTCGCAGTATGTATACATGATTTTACTTTTGCTGGAATAAAAAAATAAATTTAATTAATTTAAGTATTGGCTCTGATGAATGATGACATGAGAATAAAATCTAACTGACTTGACTAGCTTATCAAATACTTACAATACATATAAATATATTCTCTCTACTTATATATAATTTATAAGCGTGTAATGTATTATGGTTCATCTATTACTCATGTCATAATTATAAATATATTTTATGAGTTGCTTAGAATCAAAGTTCAAAATTTTTAAGTGACAAAACATATATAATAACAACAACAACAATAATAATAATAATAATAATAATAATAATAATAATAATACTCTATCAGTAATTTTTGTTTACATTTGTCATGTGTTCATAAAATATGTAATAATTTTTTCATCACTATTTTTTATGGAATGTGTGTTTATATTTTATATTAGTCATTACACTGATTTATTAAATTAAAGGTTAGGTTTTTAAAAATATTTTTGTTTTTCAAATTAGAAAGTGATTTATTTTATTAAATTTTTATGTATAGTAATTTTTAATGTACTATTTTAATTTTTTTTTTTCAACAGGATGAAGAAAAAAATTTTCAATTATGGAATTTAACGAAACTTCTCTGAACCCGTTTTTTCTATTATTGAAAGTGAGTTTTTTTTTTGTGTAAAATGTAAATATAATTGTTATTTTATTGCTAATTTAATGAATGTGTTTCTAGAAAAAATTTAAAGCTAAATATGAATTAACATTGGCCAACCGCTGGATAATTTGCATTCCATCAGATGTATCTCTAAAAAATTTATCAATCACTGAAGACTTAATAGGTAATGTGAATGCATGAGTAATGAGTAATGAGTAATTCAATGCTGCGAGTTCGTGATAGCAATATTAATTATATATCGAAATATTTTTAAGTATGTAGAGTATAAAAAAAACAATTTTTAATTTATAAACACTGTTGAGTTAATTGTTACTTGAAAGTTTTTTTAAGAAATTAGTATGAATAGTAACAAGTCATAAAAATAGTGAATTGACTAATTATTTTTGTATGATTCTGAAATTAAGAGATATTTGGTCATTTTTAGAATTTTTTTTATAAAATAAATTAAAAGAAAAAATTTCACATGTAGAAAATTTGAGAAATTATACGTGCAATTTTTTTTACTTGTAATTGTTGAAAAAAATGAAAAATTGTTAAATGTCGGCTGACTTTAGTGTTATTTAAAAATTCCATAATTAGGAGCTCAAAAAAATTATAAATGTAATTTTTTTAAATAATTTTCTAGGCATAGTTTATTTTTCAAGAAAAATTGTCAATTGCCTAGTAATTTTAGTGTCATATTTTTATACTCTACATCTATATTATTAAGAGAATAAGAAAAATTTTGTGTCCAGGATAGTCATATGATAAAATCGGTTATTTTAGTGTCTTTTCAAGGTTTCGTATCTTTTTCACCGATAGTCAATTCATCATGATAAGTATTTAGGCTGCATTTAAAAATTCTCTATCTCTAGATACATAATTAAGAAATGACCTTGTGTCTTGTGAACTATTGACATTTTTAAAGATATAAGCTCATCCCGATGTTACACTCATCAAGATCTTTCATTTGAGTACCCACATGCATTTTTTCATTTATTCATATATATTATATATTATATATATATGTATATATGAAAAATATGTCAAAATGTATGTGGGTACTCAAATGAAAGCTCTTGATGAATGTAACATCGATACGAGCTTATATCTTAAAAAATGTGAATAATATAGTAATGACGTTGTATTTTGTTCACTGATGATATTTTTAACGGTATAAGCTCACCCTGACATTACACTCATTGAGACCTTTCATTTGAGTACCCACATCAATTTTTCATATATTTATATA